AAAGATTATTTTAATAAATAATTTATTTTTAAAAATGAATTTTTCTAGCAATCGATCACGTTAAGAAAATTACGCATCTTGAAAATTTGATCCGTTCTTTAAGACAAAAAAAAAAAACGAAAAATATCGGCAATTTTAATATTAAAACACGTTTAAATATAGAAAAACAATCAAGAAATTCTCAAAAGTTGCTACCTTTTATCAATAGTTTCTTTTTTTTTTTTTAACAATGATCAACTATTTAGGCCATTCACAAATTGATTAAGTCTATCCTCTTACATCAACATTTTCCAATAATCTTCGGGTTTCTTTAGAAGAAAAAATTAAATAAAAATAATAATAAAATGATTAAATCAATTTATACATTGTTTATGCTCTTGTATATAGGTAATTACATTAGGAAGTCAATGGATTTTCTTTATTTAAATTTCACTAAAAATTTTATTCTTAATAAATGTCAGGATGCTGCTAATCTTTTTTGATATTGGCAATTTTCTGCCAGGTTTTTAATGGTTTACCACTTGAATATTTTTGATAAAATTCATTAATTTATTCCGTTTTTTTTTCCCTCCTCTTCCTTGTTGTTAAAATTTATATGAAGAATTTTCCCGTTTTAATTGAACCAAGAATTTGCATTTTTTTGAAATTTTCTTTTATGGAGAAATTTCTCAATCCAATTAATAAAATTTTGAGAAATTTTTTAATAAATTCGATCGTTAAATAAAGTATTTTTTTGTCTTTTTTGAAGATTTCGTTTGAAAATTCTTTCCCAATTGAATTTCTTTTATTTATTAATTGAATCAAATTGTTAAAGCGAACATCCATATTGTCTTCGATTTATCTTTTCTCTCTTTTATCTTAATCTTTAGAGTGGGGATTTCAGTCATTTCTGTTAGGGGAGAGACTAAAATCTGTCGAGAAAATAAACCCATTATGATCTTATGTTGTAACATCTTTAAAGAATGAGGCACTCGTTCTCCCTCTTATCTATTTTCCTCTTCTTCTACACCGATCTTTTATAATTTTAGATACTCGAACAATTTAAATTTTATCTTATGAGCTTCTTTACATCGTTTTAAAGCTTCGAGAAGTATTTTATATAATTTTAATGTTGCTCATCTGTATATTATCTCGTATATTGTCTTCTTATATACACACTTACTTGTATGTAGGTGATTAATGCACTTCTCGTATTATTACTTATCCATTTATACATTTAACATACATTATACATTGCTACTTCTAATGAAGTTATGACTTATTTATATACATTTCTTGTACACAAAACATAATTTATACATAAGTAAACCTTATATATATATATATATATTTCTTTCTCTTATACCCGGTAGAAGATTGAAAACAACCGCTTCAATCCATAAATCCTTCATCGCCGCCTCAAAAAATTGCAATATTTAAGCGAAATTAATACGAAAAATTGATAATAAAGGTGTATAAAATGTATTATTCTATCGTACTATAATTATGTAAATGTAGAAAACGGAAAGGGGNCATAGAGAAATGTGAAGATTTCCCACACCAGAAAGTCGAAAGAGCATTTTGAAAACGATAGAGTATTAAGAAGGAGCCGAGCATAATTACAAGTTCGATACTTTCTTATCGACGGATGCTATCTGAGAATAAAATCTAACTAGTGGCATTATTTAGTAATGTTTAGATAATTACTAGCTTAATGCTTTTCGTTTCCACTTTGCACTTAAAAGACAATCAAATTTATCAAAATCGATCGCGGGGGATTTATTTTCGTGACTTTATGAGAATGTCGAATAAGCGGATTTTATGGAAAAATCATTTCTATTTAACGCAAGAATGAATTTTCGTTCTGGTGGTAAGATCAGATTAACAATGAAACTATAACCCTTCTTTGGGGACTTCTCACACTTTCTTCTACTTTCTATGTGGTCACTCCGTCTCTCCATGGAATTAAGTAGTAAAGACAATTACATAGATAATATTTGGAACAATGTCAGAGGTTTTGGAGGACGAAATGGAATTGTTAGAGGTTTTTAGTATATAAATGCTATCAATTTTAATAGATATTAACGATATTTTAAACATAAATTAAATTTAAATATAATATTTTATAATTCGATTTATATTTTTATACTTTGAAAAGGTTAAAGGTCAAATTTAAATAGTTAAAATTTTTCTCGATATTTTGACATTTTTACAGTAAAATTTCTTTTGTTTTTTGGCATTTTTTAAATTCTTTTATAACTTTTAAAACTAAAATTATGCTAATTAATTGATAAATTTTAGTTTGTTTAATGTTTTATTTAATGATTAAACACAATTTTGTATCAATTAAATTGAAGCCTCTAAAGATTGTTTGCCATAGAAACTGCATAAAAATTTATCTTTCGTTTATGATAACTTTAATTAAAATAAATTTAATTATATTTTAATAGAGATTTTTACTTAAATATTTACAAATACATACTTTTTATAAAGATGTTAAATTATTATGAATTATATAATCTTGTTTCTAACCACTTGTGAGTTTGAAGAGTCAATTAATTCTAGGAATTACAATATAATTAGTGAAATTAATTTTGATCTTCCGCTTAAATTGATTTCTTAGAATGTCTTTCTATGATTCTATCCGAACAATAATCACGAAAACATTTATCTTCCTTTATTTGTTAAGAAGCATTTTCATTCAGGAAGTCTGAAAACGAGAGAAGCCCTTCAAAAAAAAAGAAAAAAAAATCTATAAAAATCTTCAGAGGTTGTCCACCCCAATTTTGACAGACGTGCAAACTTTAAATACATCCAAAACCTTTTTTTTCCCCAAAAAAGTGTAATAAAACTTTAATAAAACGCAGTATGTATGAAAATTTAAAAGTAGTAAAATCGTACAGGTTAAAAGAGAATTTCTCTCTCTTTCTTTTTTATTTAAGTCCAGCAGACACTTGAAAATAGCGCGAGCTAAATTTAGAATCAAAATTTCATAAGCATAGTCCACCCTCTCAACGCTTTTTACCCCTTTCCGTTTCGAGATTCTCTAATACTAAATATAACTTACTTCACTAGTACTGTAGTAGAAGCTAAAGAAAAGATGACAAAATCAGGAACCAAGCCAGATTCTCCCTTAATTAGTTCTCGGTTTGGAACTCTTCCCGGACACCAAATGACATTCATAATGTAAAAAGAAAAACGTCGTTCCGTTTTCGAAGTCCACCCTCGACTCGATTCTAAAAAGTACGATTTAAATGGCGTGTATTGTTTCCTATAGAGAATATTGCATCTTCCGCATCACTCGTCGAAGGAGTAGCATCCCATCTGAACATTATCAGAAAACGCTAATAAAAAACGATTGTGTCGACTCGTTTCTTTGTTTAGAAAGGTTGTAAACAAAGAGGTAAACAGGTACGATTCAGCTTTATAACTAATATAAATAATTGTACATTAAATGGAAGAGATTAACTTCTGCTCTGCAAGTCTTCCATTATGATCATAATCATATTACCATATATTGCAATGCTAAATTAAAATACCCAGTGGGATATTACAAACTCATATATTCTATTGTTTGACAGGTTGAGGTCTACGTTGCTTTGGACAGCACAGATTAACCGGATTTGTAGACACTAATCCGCATTTGATTATTAAAACTGGTGTAGTTGCTGGTTAACGTATGCATTACTCGTTTCTAATGATTGGACCATTCGGTTACATGTTAAGATTGGATTCCTGCCGTCAAATGATATGAAGAGTAATGAAATAATTTCATTAACAACCATTCAGTCTTGTTACAACAGAATCTAATGTTAGAATTCAACTCGCAAACTAAAATTATAACATTCCATAACTCCATTTTCAACGTTTTTATATTATAATAACGACACTTTTCATAAACGTTAACTCTCTCTGGATAATTTCCAACCATTTTTATACCAATCTTAAAATATCTAAATCCAAAATTCCTTACAGAAAAGTGTTGACGTGATCTTTCTTTAACTTTTCTTTCTCTTTATATAACCGATAACGTGTATAAAACTATCAAAGATATATTAATCTAGATTTATTTACAAGCAAGAAATTTCATATATATATGAAGGGTATTTTGCTTTTTGAATTCTCCTTTCCATCAACTGGATAAGATAAATCGAAAACGTGACACCAAATGGTTGTGCAACAGCCAGAACCATATTAAGAACCAAAGTAAATTATGGCTTTATATATATGTGTGTGTGCTGTGATCGTTTAATATCTTTTGAACACAAAAAGAAATATATATATAATACATCGAAATTAAATTTTCGTAGGTGTCAAATCTAATAACTGTAGTCATTAGTTAGAATCGTTACATATAAATTACTTCAAAATTTCTTTATCGATAAAGAAATTGGCGTGTAACTAATGCTACAATTCGACTAATTTTTCTTTTGAGAATAGAATACTCTCTCAATTATCTGATAAAAATGAAGTTTTACATTTTAAATCATTCTTTAATTATTTTCTTCTTTTGTCTTTATCAAGATTGTTCTTTATTTTCTTAATATTATTAAATTTTCTTTTATATTTTAGCCGTTATTTAGTTTCTAAATTAAATTAAATAATTAGCTACCGATTATTGTCTACATGCTAAATAAATTAATCATTTCAGTCGATAAAAGTGGTAAAGTTAAATTAAATTAATAAATTTTTATTTAATTTTATAAATATAGGAGGTTCTCGCTTTTATACGAAAGATAATATATTTAAAAATTTTAATTAAGATTGATTGGTTAAATTAACGCGCGGGTAACGCCTACTTTAATCTTTCAATTTTTTTTTAACCAATCGTCGTTAAGATGTTAATATTTTGGAATTATTTTTTTAAAATAAAATTATATCTTACGTATTCTGCTGTAATTAAAAATTAAATTTTTTACTTAATTTTGATATTATTTTATCGTTTTTTTAAAGTGTTTTCTTGATGTAAAATAGTAAATTTTATATATTTTTCTAAGGTATTTATTTTCATAAATTTTCAGGTTTACTGGACGGCTCAGCTGTGACTCCACCCGTTTTACCTCCTCGCACCATGGGACGGACGGGCAATAGGGGTGGCCCACCGAACAATCCCATCGGAGGAAGTACCAACAGTCAAGGACAAGACATCGATCAAGATTTTGAACCGTCGTGTCTTGCCAGAACTCCTTCGGGTTCATTGTTCATTCCAGGTGGTAAGTCCCAAATACTATTGGACTTTGTCATATTTAGTAAGACGGTCACGTGAAAGAGGCCCCGGCTATTGATTGATTACGAGAAAATCGTACGGGTAGTAATTCTAGAAGGATTTGCTCTCCCTCACGATCAATATTCATACTCGTATCAAGAATAGATTCCAAAATGTAGGAATTTATAGATTACTCCGTCTTTCCTTAATACGGATGAAAGACGAAAGTCTTAAAGTAGATGAAAAAATTCTTAATATATATATATATATATATATATATTTTATCTTTTAAGATTTGCCAAAATGTTTGGGACCTTCTCAACAAAAAAGTGATATACCCCATCATCGTTCCCTCCAAGATGATAAAAATAATCCAGACAGGTAAGAGAAATTCTTCGAATGTCCATAGAAAAAAAAAATGTCGCTCAATTAACTTGAATAAAAATTAGTTAAGTTACTTTTTTTTAAATGTTACTTAATGAAAAACCAAAGATTAATGATAAAAGATCATCCTCCGCATCAATTTTACTTTGTGACGTCCACTAGAGATGCTTTTTTCTTCTTCTTCTTCTTCTTCTTCTTCGTCGTATCGAAAAACCGGCTGCACTTTAAACAAAATCCAATAAATGAACAACTTGGGAATAAAACCTCCATTCTTTAATTTAACCTTCTTCCCAAATCAAGATCCTTCTTCATTATCGAGCAGAGAAGTTAACTAGAGTGAGAATAGTGGTCCTATAAACACTTAAGTGATTTAAGTCCGGTATTCTACAAGATAATCCGTCTTAGCTCTTAATTTGTTGAAACTTCGCAATCGTACTTTCCTGTAATATCTCTAAGTCTTACTGGGAAGCTGCCATCGAGGGGGGGGAAGAGGAGGGACTAGACGGTCTTTTCGTATTCGCCAAACTAATAAAAAGGAAATGTAAAACTTCTTATCTTCTCGCAGCCTGTAGGTTAATATTGGTCGTTAAGTCGGTCGACAACGACTCTACAAAAGTCTCTAATGCTACTTTATGTCTCATCCTATCCATAATACGATCTTAAACGGTGACTGAGCCATTCGATAGTTTTACTTACTCCTTCGAATATTCTGCTACAGTCAACACAATCGTAATGTTGTTGATTATTGGTGCAGAAGAAGAGGAAATTCTTTCGATTTTTATCAAATTTAATTAATATTTATTAACATAAAATTCGTTTGTTTAACGTTTTAATCGTTAGGATGGTAAGAGGAGAGGAAAAAAAAATAAAAACAAATTTCTACATCATACCACTACTTTAAAATATGATTTTATCTACATTTTATAATATTTATGTATACTTAAACATGGAAAAAATTCTGAGAAGAAGCTAAAATAAATAATTTTATCTGGAAATTGAGTTTTAAAAAATTTGTTTAGTAAATTATGTTTACCAAAGTAACATCGTTTATGTTATGGTGATGCAGAAAGAATCTCATCTCATAATTTAGTATGAAGTTTACATAAGTAGTAGAAAATCAGTAAATATTAACATTTAAAAAAAAAAACGGATTAATTTCTTATAATGATACTTTTAATAAAATGAGCTCCGAATAGAATAATGCACTCAACTAAATATCTATCGGAATACATTTCGGAAAAAAGATGAGGATTTGTATACGGGTTTCTTATATATAATATGTATTTTTTTTTTTAATTCTAGATGTCACCTGAGTTACACTCCGACAGCCCCCGTGCCTGTAGTACCCGTCCGTAACAATGTTCGTCGTCCTGTATCCAATCATTTTGCTCACTCCCGTTTTCAATTCCGAAAGACGATATCCTCTCGTTGCAGCTGGAAATGCGCGGCGATAGCTTTCATCTTTGTATCACTCGCTCTTTTAACGGCTCTTGCCTATTTTGTAGGTAGGTTACCCGATTTAAAGTTTTAAAAAATTATATTTTAAAAGGTAATAGTTTAAATGCTGTTATTACTTAAACTTAAATTTTATAAATCCTTTAAAAAAATATTCGTGAAAACATAGGCAGTCCTTCGCATTAATCGTAAAATAAAATGTTAAATAGCTTATTGACGTTTGATTGTCGGCTTTCATTGGTTACGAAAACAAAAATGGGAGTGTCTCATTTTTATTTTTAAATTCTCCAGCCAATAAGCGTTACATTTTTATATTAAGTGATATTTCTTGCCAGTAAGGTAGAGAGCCGCCTATATTTTAAGTAATTTTATTGTATTCTGACTCATTTTTTTTCTTTTATTATAATTATAATTGTAAAAACTGATTCAATTATTTTTTTTTATGTATAATCTTTATGGTGAATCATTTTTCTATAGCTGTAGCATTCCCTAGTTGGCGGTATGCTAGCAAACATCCCTGTCCTGTCGTGGTCGACGACATAGAATTAGCCGTAGGTGGAACGGAAGTTAAAAGTAAGTCCTCCATTTTAAGTTTAAACACAGATTTTCACTATTATTTCTCTTGTTTGAGAGATAAGAAACGGCAAGAGTGAATTTTAAAATGTAAAAAAAAATATGACTCAACCTCTGTTGATACAAAGTATACCAGCAAGGCTCTTCTTTTAAGGTTAAAGTGTTATCAACTTCATTATTCGTGTTTTAAAACAGATAGATTGGGTGCGAGAACATACACCTGTACTTCTTGAGAAAACGATCGTTTCGTAACTAGAAAAAAAAATATAATAATATGCAAGCCTTGAGTGCAATTAACAATATTCTTTGCAATATATTCNATTCGCGAATTTTATCCTATTTTATTTACTTCACAAAATTTGTATTTCAAATCACAAATTCTTTCTGATTTACAAATTTTTCTATTAATTTATAAAGTTTTTCGTTTCAACTCACACATCTTTGTTTAGTTTTGAAACTTCCTAAACTCGTAAATTTTTTTTTTAGATTTACGAAATTCCTATTTCGACTTGCGAAATTTTCATTTTTACTCGCATATTTTTTGGTTTTATTTATAAATATTCATATAAATTTACAATTTTGTTATTTAATAAACTCATAAAAAACTCTTAGATCACAAATTTCCCATTTTTGCTCACAACACCATCTTTCATTTCACAAATTTCCCATTTTAATTCACAAGACTCTCTCTCTCTCTCTCTCAGCTCACAGATGTTCCATATCCACTCATCACACTCTCTTTCATCTCACAGATTTAATACTTCAACCCACAAGACCTTCTCGCTCAGCTCACAAATTTCTCATTTCAACTCACAACACTCTCATTTCACAGATTTCCCACTTTAATCCACATTTCTCTCTGCTCACAGATGTTCCATATCCACTCACAACACTCTCTCTCAGCTCACAGATGTTCCATATCCATTCATAAGACTCTTTCTCAGCTCACAGATGTTCCATATCCACTCACAACACTCTCTTTCATCTTACAGATTTTCCATTTCAACTCACAACACTCTCNTCACAACACTCTCTCTCAGCTCACAGATGTTCCATATCCATTCATAAGACTCTTTCTCAGCTCACAGATGTTCCATATCCACTCACAACACTCTCTTTCATCTTACAGATTTTCCATTTCAACTCACAACACTCTCTTTCATCTCACAGATCCAACTTCAATCCACAAGACCCTCTCTCAGCTCACAGATTTCTCGGTTTAAACTTAAAATTTTCCTATTTCGACGAACAAAATTTAATTTCCACTCAAAACTTGCCATTGCTTACGGTGTTCTTTTCTCGATCGCGCTCGCATTACATAGAGAAATGTGAAGATTTCCCACACCAGAAAGTCGAAAGAGCATTTTGAAAACGATAGAGTATTAAGAAGGAGCCGAGCATAATTACAAGTTCGATACTTTCTTATCGACGGATGCTATCTGAGAATAAAATCTAACTAGTGGCATTATTTAGTAATGTTTAGATAATTACTAGCTTAATGCTTTTCGTTTCCACTTTGCACTTAAAAGACAATCAAATTTATCAAAATCGATCGCGGGGGATTTATTTTCGTGACTTTATGAGAATGTCGAATAAGCGGATTTTATGGAAAAATCATTTCTATTTAACGCAAGAATGAATTTTCGTTCTGGTGGTAAGATCAGATTAACAATGAAACTATAACCCTTCTTTGGGGACTTCTCACACTTTCTTCTACTTTCTATGTGGTCACTCCGTCTCTCCATGGAATTAAGTAGTAAAGACAATTACATAGATAATATTTGGAACAATGTCAGAGGTTTTGGAGGACGAAATGGAATTGTTAGAGGTTTTTAGTATATAAATGCTATCAATTTTAATAGATATTAACGATATTTTATACATAAATTAAATTTAAATATAATATTTTATAATTCGATTTATATTTTTATACTTTGAAAAGGTTAAAGGTCAAATTTAAATAGTTAAAATTTTTCTCGATATTTTGACATTTTTACAGGAAAATTTCTTTTGTTTTTTGGCATTTTTTAAATTCTTTTATAACTTTTAAAACTAAAATTATGCTAATTAATTGATAAATTTTAGTTTGTTTAATGTTTTATTTAATGATTAAACACAATTTTGTATCAATTAAATTGAAGCCTCTAAAGATTGTTTGCCATAGAAACTGCATAAAAATTTATCTTTCGTTTATGATAACTTTAATTAAAATAAATTTAATTATATTTTAATAGAGATTTTTACTTAAATATTTACAAATACATACTTTTTATAAAGATGTTAAATTATTATGAATTATATAATCTTGTTTCTAACCACTTGTGAGTTTGAAGAGTCAATTAATTCTAGGAATTACAATATAATTAGTGAAATTAATTTTGATCTTCCGCTTAAATTGATTTCTTAGAATGTCTTTCTATGATTCTATCCGAACAATAATCACGAAAACATTTATCTTCCTTTATTTGTTAAGAAGCATTTTCATTCAGGAAGTCTGAAAACGAGAGAAGCCCTTCAAAAAAAAAGAAAAAAAAATCTATAAAAATCTTCAGAGGTTGTCCACCCCAATTTTGACAGACGTGCAAACTTTAAATACATCCAAAACCTTTTTTTTCCCCAAAAAAGTGTAATAAAACTTTAATAAAACGCAGTATGTATGAAAATTTAAAAGTAGTAAAATCGTACAGGTTAAAAGAGAATTTCTCTCTCTTTCTTTTTTATTTAAGTCCAGCAGACACTTGAAAATAGCGCGAGCTAAATTTAGAATCAAAATTTCATAAGCATAGTCCACCCTCTCAACGCTTTTTACCCCTTTCCGTTTCGAGATTCTCTAATACTAAATATAACTTACTTCACTAGTACTGTAGTAGAAGCTAAAGAAAAGATGACAAAATCAGGAACCAAGCCAGATTCTCCCTTAATTAGTTCTCGGTTTGGAACTCTTCCCGGACACCAAATGACATTCATAATGTAAAAAGAAAAACGTCGTTCCGTTTTCGAAGTCCACCCTCGACTCGATTCTAAAAAGTACGATTTAAATGGCGTGTATTGTTTCCTATAGAGAATATTGCATCTTCCGCATCACTCGTCGAAGGAGTAGCATCCCATCTGAACATTATCAGAAAACGCTAATAAAAAACGATTGTGTCGACTCGTTTCTTTGTTTAGAAAGGTTGTAAACAAAGAGGTAAACAGGTACGATTCAGCTTTATAACTAATATAAATAATTGTACATTAAATGGAAGAGATTAACTTCTGCTCTGCAAGTCTTCCATTATGATCATAATCATATTACCATATATTGCAATGCTAAATTAAAATACCCAGTGGGATATTACAAACTCATATATTCTATTGTTTGACAGGTTGAGGTCTACGTTGCTTTGGACAGCACAGATTAACCGGATTTGTAGACACTAATCCGCATTTGATTATTAAAACTGGTGTAGTTGCTGGTTAACGTATGCATTACTCGTTTCTAATGATTGGACCATTCGGTTACATGTTAAGATTGGATTCCTGCCGTCAAATGATATGAAGAGTAATGAAATAATTTCATTAACAACCATTCAGTCTTGTTACAACAGAATCTAATGTTAGAATTCAACTCGCAAACTAAAATTATAACATTCCATAACTCCATTTTCAACGTTTTTATATTATAATAACGACACTTTTCATAAACGTTAACTCTCTCTGGATAATTTCCAACCATTTTTATACCAATCTTAAAATATCTAAATCCAAAATTCCTTACAGAAAAGTGTTGACGTGATCTTTCTTTAACTTTTCTTTCTCTTTATATAACCGATAACGTGTATAAAACTATCAAAGATATATTAATCTAGATTTATTTACAAGCAAGAAATTTCATATATATATGAAGGGTATTTTGCTTTTTGAATTCTCCTTTCCATCAACTGGATAAGATAAATCGAAAACGTGACACCAAATGGTTGTGCAACAGCCAGAACCATATTAAGAACCAAAGTAAATTATGGCTTTATATATATGTGTGTGTGCTGTGATCGTTTAATATCTTTTGAACACAAAAAGAAATATATATATAATACATCGAAATTAAATTTTCGTAGGTGTCAAATCTAATAACTGTAGTCATTAGTTAGAATCGTTACATATAAATTACTTCAAAATTTCTTTATCGATAAAGAAATTGGCGTGTAACTAATGCTACAATTCGACTAATTTTTCTTTTGAGAATAGAATACTCTCTCAATTATCTGATAAAAATGAAGTTTTACATTTTAAATCATTCTTTAATTATTTTCTTCTTTTGTCTTTATCAAGATTGTTCTTTATTTTCTTAATATTATTAAATTTTCTTTTATATTTTAGCCGTTATTTAGTTTCTAAATTAAATTAAATAATTAGCTACCGATTATTGTCTACATGCTAAATAAATTAATCATTTCAGTCGATAAAAGTGGTAAAGTTAAATTAAATTAATAAATTTTTATTTAATTTTATAAATATAGGAGGTTCTCGCTTTTATACGAAAGATAATATATTTAAAAATTTTAATTAAGATTGATTGGTTAAATTAACGCGCGGGTAACGCCTACTTTAATCTTTCAATTTTTTTTTAACCAATCGTCGTTAAGATGTTAATATTTTGGAATTATTTTTTTAAAATAAAATTATATCTTACGTATTCTGCTGTAATTAAAAATTAAATTTTTTACTTAATTTTGATATTATTTTATCGTTTTTTTAAAGTGTTTTCTTGATGTAAAATAGTAAATTTTATATATTTTTCTAAGGTATTTATTTTCATAAATTTTCAGGTTTACTGGACGGCTCAGCTGTGACTCCACCCGTTTTACCTCCTCGCACCATGGGACGGACGGGCAATAGGGGTGGCCCACCGAACAATCCCATCGGAGGAAGTACCAACAGTCAAGGACAAGACATCGATCAAGATTTTGAACCGTCGTGTCTTGCCAGAACTCCTTCGGGTTCATTGTTCATTCCAGGTGGTAAGTCCCAAATACTATTGGACTTTGTCATATTTAGTAAGACGGTCACGTGAAAGAGGCCCCGGCTATTGATTGATTACGAGAAAATCGTACGGGTAGTAATTCTAGAAGGATTTGCTCTCCCTCACGATCAATATTCATACTCGTATCAAGAATAGATTCCAAAATGTAGGAATTTATAGATTACTCCGTCTTTCCTTAATACGGATGAAAGACGAAAGTCTTAAAGTAGATGAAAAAATTCTTAATATATATATATATATATATATATTTTATCTTTTAAGATTTGCCAAAATGTTTGGGACCTTCTCAACAAAAAAGTGATATACCCCATCATCGTTCCCTCCAAGATGATAAAAATAATCCAGACAGGTAAGAGAAATTCTTCGAATGTCCATAGAAAAAAAAATGTCGCTCAATTAACTTGAATAAAAATTAGTTAAGTTACTTTTTTTTAAATGTTACTTAATGAAAAACCAAAGATTAATGATAAAAGATCATCCTCCGCATCAATTTTACTTTGTGACGTCCACTAGAGATGCTTTTTTCTTCTTCTTCTTCTTCTTCTTCTTCGTCGTATCGAAAAACCGGCTGCACTTTAAACAAAATCCAATAAATGAACAACTTGGGAATAAAACCTCCATTCTTTAATTTAACCTTCTTCCCAAATCAAGATCCTTCTTCATTATCGAGCAGAGAAGTTAACTAGAGTGAGAATAGTGGTCCTATAAACACTTAAGTGATTTAAGTCCGGTATTCTACAAGATAATCCGTCTTAGCTCTTAATTTGTTGAAACTTCGCAATCGTACTTTCCTGTAATATCTCTAAGTCTTACTGGGAAGCTGCCATCGAGGGGGGGGAAGAGGAGGGACTAGACGGTCTTTTCGTATTCGCCAAACTAATAAAAAGGAAATGTAAAACTTCTTATCTTCTCGCAGCCTGTAGGTTAATATTGGTCGTTAAGTCGGTCGACAACGACTCTACAAAAGTCTCTAATGCTACTTTATGTTTCATCCTATCCATAATACGATCTTAAACGGTGACTGAGCCATTCGATAGTTTTACTTACTCCTTCGAATATTCTGCTACAGTCAACACAATCGTAATGTTGTTGATTATTGGTGCAGAAGAAGAGGAAATTCTTTCGATTTTTATCAAATTTAATTAATATTTATTAACATAAAATTCGTTTGTTTAACGTTTTAATCGTTAGGATGGTAAGAGGAGAGGAAAAAAAAATAAAAACAAATTTCTACATCATACCACTACTTTAAAATATGATTTTATCTACATTTTATAATATTTATGTATACTTAAACATGGAAAAAATTCTGAGAAGAAGCTAAAATAAATAATTTTATCTGGAAATTGAGTTTTAAAAAATTTGTTTAGTAAATTATGTTTACCAAAGTAACATCGTTTATGTTATGGTGATGCAGAAAGAATCTCATCTCATAATTTAGTATGAAGTTTACATAAGTAGTAGAAAATCAGTAAATATTAACATTTAAAAAAAAAAAACGGATTAATTTCTTATAATGATACTTTTAATAAAATGAGCTCCGAATAGAATAATGCACTCAACTAAATATCTATCGGAATACATTTCGGAAAAAAGATGAGGATTTGTATACGGGTTTCTTATATATAATATGTATTTTTTTTTTTTTAATTCTAGATGTCACCTGAGTTACACTCCGACAGCCCCCGTGCCTGTAGTACCCGTCCGTAACAATGTTCGTCGTCCTGTATCCAATCATTTTGCTCACTCCCGTTTTCAATTCCGAAAGACGATATCCTCTCGTTGCAGCTGGAAATGTGCGGCGATAGCTTTCATCTTTGTATCACTCGCTCTTTTAACGGCTCTTGCCTATTTTGTAGGTAGGTTACCCGATTTAAAGTTTTAAAAAATTATATTTTAAAAGGTAATAGTTTAAATGCTGTTATTACTTAAACTTAAATTTTATAAATCCTTTAAAAAAATATTCGTGAAAACATAGGCAGTCCTTCGCATTAATCGTAAAATAAAATGTTAAATAGCTTATTGACGTTTGATTGTCGGCTTTCATTGGTTACGAAAACAAAAATGGGAGTGTCTCATTTTTATTTTTAAATTCTCCAGCCAATAAGCGTTACATTTTTATATTAAGTGATATTTCTTGCCAGTAAGGTAGAGAGCCGCCTATATTTTAAGTAATTTTATTGTATTCTGACTCATTTTTTTTCTTTTATTATAATTATAATTGTAAAAACTGATTCAATTATTTTTTTTTATGTATAATCTTTATGGTGAATCATTTTTCTATAGCTGTAGCATTCCCTAGTTGGCGGTATGCTAGCAAACATCCCTGTCCTGTCGTGGTCGACGACATAGAATTAGCCGTAGGTGGAACGGAAGTTAAAAGTAAGTCCTCCATTTTAAGTTTAAACACAGATTTTCACTATTATTTCTCTTGTTTGAGAGATAAGAAACGGCAAGAGTGAATTTTAAAATGTAAAAAAAAATATGACTCAACCTCTGTTGATACAAAGTATACCAGCAAGGCTCTTCTTTTAAGGTTAAAGTGTTATCAACTTCATTATTCGTGTTTTAAAACAGATAGATTGGGTGCGAGAACATACACCTGTACTTCTTGAGAAAACGATCGTTTCGTAACTAGAAAAAAAAATATAATAATATGCAAGCCTTGAGTGCAATTAACAATATTCTTTGCAATATATTCTTTTGGTGGAGGTACCAAGTGGAAAGACAACAGTCTCTAATTTCGCGAGTACTTGTAGCCATCTGCACTGACTTACATCCTTTTCGTTGCCATTTTTCCCCTCGTACTTCCCTCCCTCAACTTCTTCCATTAACGTACACGTAATGAGGACATTAAAACAAAAGCTCGGAACAATGTAGCATCTCCAGTTTTATAATTGATGAAAGAAAGGAGGGGATTTCTTAAGTGCATCCCGTAACAAAATATACAAACGAAATTTAATGGAAGCCACTGTACGGCCCCACAAATGAATCTTTTCGAATATTTTCTTAAACACTACCGATTAGTTAATGTCGCGTGCTGTTCTTTCACCCTCTCCTCTTTAAAAAATTGAAGAAAGATGCCAATTTTTGGCATTCTTCGTGGCGAAACTTTCTGTCAAATTATGCAGAAAAAATAATAATTGCGACTTCCTAACTCGAGAACGAACACCCCCTTCTTTGCTTTTCTTCTTTATGAACTAAAATAGCTTCTTCTATGAGAAATTTAATAGATGTAATAATAAGTTATAACACTCTATCGATGATAAACAGCGTCGATAAGCGCTTTTTGAGAAATTCATTCTTGACATTGATGATTTATCTCGCTTAATGGCTCCTTCTTTCACTAAATAAATATTAATCACAGTTAAGTTTATACTACATCTCGATAGTAATTTAAAAAATGGAAGAATTGCTTTTATTATCGCATTTATCTTTAGATAAGATGTTCTTCCTTAGATCCATCCTCGCTACCTTCTAAGACGTTTCCACCCAAAAGCGAATCCTTCTCCGAAGTTCAACTTGGAAGAAGGCACAGTCAGAAGATTCCATCTTATGGCCATTGGAACATCCAATTTCATCAACGTGACCCGTCTTTAGTCAAATTTAACTATACTATGCCACACGGGGCCAGCGTTGGGGTGTACGGAAAGAGGAACGGTGTACCTACTCATACGCGTTACGACTTTACAGAAATCCTAAATTCCAGGGATAGGAGCTCTAAGAGATCTGAAAAGGTATGCTTAACCTTCTGTAATGAGCCTCTCTTCTACAAAGATTATCGCTTAACAGATCGCTTAATACCTTCTTTTACAGGATGTTTATAGTGTACAGTTTATACAATTTTTGGATCGAGGATTATGGTATATATCGGTATACAACGATGGTGATCAACAGCAGGAAATCTCGCTTACTCCTCACCTGACAGGTAAGAAATTATTTAGTTCACGTGACGATTTTGAGCAAATTATTCATTATGTTTTTCTTACAGACGAATCCAGTTTGCCTTGTCCTTACGATTGTCACGGTCACGGAACTTGTGTGATGGGGAGTTGCGTTTGTAATCCCGATTTTGCTGGGGATTCTTGTGCCTATAGTGAGTACTTAATGGCAATTATTTAACTGTAGTGTAAATAATTCGAAAGCATTTTGTTTACATTGACGATCACACTTAAGTAGAAGACATTAAAACATCTAAAACACCGAGCTGTCGATGATGCGTTAAGTTCCATCGATCGATTTTACGCTCTGTTGAAGAATATCTTAAACAGAATCGTCCATCCTTGAAAAATATAAATTGTTGAAACTTTTAAAAGCCAAAAATCTTTACTATTAAAATGAGATATCAATAAATTAGATATTAATATCAGTTAATTGTTGATGCTAATGAATTTCCGATAATTTTTAAGCAATTTTTCTTACAGAAAAATGATTTTATTAATTAATAATTGTAGAAAAATCGATAAATTATTTTACCAAATTTTTGTACAGGAGTGTGTCCTATCCTGTGTAACGGAAGAGGGCAATATTTAGCAGGTGAATGCATCTGCAGTCCTGGATGGAAAGGCAAAGACTGTCAATTGAGGGAGGACGAATGCGAAATTCCTGACTGTAGTGGCCATGGTGATTGCTTAGAAGGCGTCTGTAGATGCTTTCCAGGATATAAAGGAGTTCACTGCGAAGAAGGTAACAAAATCTCTTACTAAAATATGGAAAATATTCTGTTATCGTCCCTACAGACCTTTAAGTTTATGTATCTTGTCAAGAAGCCGGTTGGAAATTTTTATATTCAAGTGGAAAACATATACTTAACTTCGTTACGGAGAGCAGATCACTCGTGTTCTAACGCATTCACTTTCTCGAAAATTTAATTATAATTTGATTAATAGCAAAGTCTTTGCTTTGAAAGTTAAGTAAACGAATATGGCGTTGAAAGAATGAAGATGTAATTATATTACACGGGGTATAAATCCCAGAGGAAGTAAAGTTGCCCACGTCTCCGATTTAAAAAAATCTATTCGTTAGTAATGATTATTTAAAATGGTTCCTGTAAGAGGGATAAAGAATGATTTGTACCTTGTTTAATTTCAAGTGGACTGTTTGGATCCCGAGTGTTCTGGACACGGGACGTGTGTGCGAAGCATGTGTGTATGTAGAAAAGGATGGAAGGGTGCAGACTGTAGTGAACCAGATAGCGATGCTCTCAGATGTCTACCGGATTGTAGTGGACACGGTCAGTTCGATTTAGAGTTACAGAGATGCATCTGTGACGAAAGGTGGACGGGTCTAGATTGCTCTCAAGGTAGTATTTTCGTTTTAAATGTATTTTTATATGTATATTAAGCTTGTATAACAAGGCCACTTTACAGAAAAGTGCGACTTGGATTGCGGTCCTCACGGTAGATGCCAGGGTGGAGAATGCGTTTGTATAGATGGTTGGGAAGGTGCTAAATGCGACGAAAGGCTGTGCGATCCGAGATGTCTGGAACACGGTCAGTGCAGAAATGGTAGTTGTTTGTGTATTCAAGGTTGGAACGGTCGACACTGTACTATAGGTAAGTAGTTATTTTGATATAGGAGAGGAATCGTAAGTAAATATGTTAAACTTGTATGGGAATTGAGAAAAGAAGTGTAAATAGTCTCCTGCGATAGACGTAAGATATCAATGCAATAGATTTTAACAATGATTGACAAGGACATGATTATGCAACAACAATTGGTGCAATCTATTTCATCTTTTTCGACCAATCATTGTTAAATCACATTTCAAACATATTTTAAAAAGAATTTACGATTATATCGTACGAATACCTCAATGGATCTCCTATTTTCACAAATACTCTTAAATTAGGGGGGCCATTTTTCAGATATTTACTTACGATTCATCGTATATAACTGGCATTTAAAAATGTTCTCTCACAAACGTTTGTTTATCAGAGGGTTGCGTACGTAACTGCAATAACCATGGCGACTGCATTCTACTAGAAGAAGAGTGGCAATGTCAATGCGAAGTGGACTGGGACGGCATAGACTGTGGCATACCTCTAGAGAGAGTATGTGATGACATGCTGGACAATGATAACGGTGAGTGGGACTGAATGTTAATTCCCCATCAGCTTTTTATAATCATTTGCACTGCCATATATTACTAGCAGTTAATTATTTACAGTCTACATGACTTTCCACTTACCGGGTCATAACGTTATCGCCAGTTATGAAGTCACAGCTGATAAAAATGCAAATATTATTGCTCCAGGGAATGTATATAGTGTTGTTACCTGTGTCGACTTTTTGTGTATTCTTTGCTATCTCTTATGCTAATTGCAATTATGGGCAACAGCTGTCGAAGGATACGAAAGGAAAACATCGTCTCTGATAGAAAAATCGATGAGTCTTTTATAATTCTCTTTTAATTTCGATTCTTCTACTTAAAAATAATCTGTTTGAATCGAGATTTAATCACAGAAACTTCAGACAAAATAGAGAAGAAAAAAAAATGCTAACTTGCAGTTTTAATCCCAAAAGTTTTAATGTTTTGTAGATTTCTGTATTAACGAAACACTTAATTACGAAATTTCGTTAAATGTGCAATTCAATTACCAATCTGTGTGTTTATTTTTAACGATATGTTAATGCAATTAACACATTTCAGATGGTTTAGTCGATTGTGCCGATAGTGAATGCTGCAACGACAAAGCCTGCGAAAACAACCCACTGTGCTTCTCTGCCACAGACCCTCTCGACATTCTTTTGAGAAAACAACCCCCCGCCGTGACAGCTTCGTTCTTTCAAAGAATGCAGTTTCTGATCGAAGAAGATTCCGTACAGAGTTATGCCCACAAGAATGCTTTTAACGACAGGTGGGTAGCTTATAGATTTATGTAACACACGTGTTTTTTTTTCTTACACACAATTCCACCTCACAAAACACCCCTCCTGCTTCATTTTTAAAATGGAAAAAAACTGTATAAAAATAATTATTCCGTCTTTTCTTTTTTGCTGCTCAGTCTGTTTTGGAGTCGTTTTAACTCTAGGTATGTACTGTATATTTGTATAGACGTGTGTGTATATGTATATAGGTGCGTGTTTTTTTATTCATAAAACTATAAAATATACATTTTTCGAATATAAAATCGAAACATAAAAAGAAATTAGGAAGTTTTCTAAGGTTATATTTCTTGTTTTCAGACATTACTGTAGGGGTTAAGCCCCGAGGTGGTGGTTCACTTTCTGTATGTGTTTGTTGATCTTTGTACGTATAACGTAATATTGACATTATTTTCTTCCACTAGTCGTGCCTCTGTGATCCGTGGTGAAGTGGGAAGTCCTTCGGGCAGTGGACTGATGGGCATCAGAGTTGGTGTTGCTAGCGATCCCTTGTTTGGTTTTACTGTCACCAGAGAAACTGGATGGTAAATTGTCTCTTGTTCTATTATGTAAGCTTTCACTCCACTCTATTATGTAAAGCTTCTGTAAACAATTTTTTTTATTATCTTTTCCTGTGTTTAAATAATGAACGAACAACTAATTTATTTGAAATTAAACTTTTATAAAAGTATATATATAATTTGATATAAGAGTATTTAAATAATACATCCCTAATCATTTAGTTTTATTTTATTTTTTTATTATTTAAATTATTAAATTTAGATACTCTAGAGTCGAGTATAGAATAACGAAGCAGTCAAAGAACGCGTTAAACATACATAAACAGTCCAAATGCATTACCACTGTCTTCCAAAATAGGTTCGACTTGATGGTAAATGGAGGCGGTGCAGTTAAACTTCAATTCCAAAGAGAGCCGTTCACACCACACGAGAGAACGGTAGTCGTGCCTTGGAATGAAATCGTCGTCATTGATAAAGTCACCATGAACCTGAAAGAAGAAAAGGTGATGGAATTTAAATCACCAGTTTGTATGGAACACGATTACGACGTCATGAAACCAGTTGTTCTTGCCACCTGGAAGCACGGATTTCAAGGTGGTTGTCCGGAAAGGAACTCCATTTTAGCTGAATCACAAGTAAATATTCGCTTGTTTTTTATAATAAAACTCGCCCTCTTTCGTTTCCATGTTCTAAAAACACAGATTTTATATATATATATTTTTGAATTTCTGGTCTATTTTGAGAATAATAACGTGACCCAATCGATAATCTTGTCCTACTTGGATATATATATATATTTTTTTTGTATGATTGACCGAACATTCTATCTTGTCCCGTCAGGTCGTACAAGAAAGTCTGGCTATTCCTGGTACAGAATTGTACCTAGTTTACCACAGCAGCCGAGTCGGGGGCTATCTGTCCACCATTCAACTGCAGCTGACACCAGACGTCATTCCTCCCACACTGCGGATGGTACACTTAAGGATATCGATCGAGGGAATACTTTTCGAAAAAAAATTCGAAGCCGATCCAGGTATCAAGTTCACTTACGCCTGGAATCGTAGGAACGTCTACAGACAGAAAGTATACGGAATTGCCAGTGCTACAGGTTATTTTCTACCCTTTCTACCCTAAGTTATAATTAGAAAAAGTGCCTGAAATTAAATAAATCGATGCTTTTAAATTTATTTTATATCAATTTTTATTAATAGTTATTTAAATATGAACAATCTGATCTGTTAGATGTAATTTTTGAGAACTTCTAGAGGCCGCAAATTCTCGGTTGAGCTGTATTTTAAGAATATCTAGCCTAAACGTTAATTAGTTGAATATTTGATATTCTTAATGGCTATTGGAGGTGATCAAAATATCTTAACGCTAATTGGTTACAGAAATTTCAAAAACCGTAAACAATTAACACATTTATTGATTTTGAATTCCTCAACCAATCGTCGTTGAGACGTGCTTATTTTTGACCAATCGAGATCGTACGCTTGATATTTGAATATTACACTCGCGTTTTACGAAATTTTTGATCGAACTTTTTGACGCGTCATATAAAGAAGCAACTTTTAAAATGTTTCGTATAGTTTTTATTGTTTTTCGTGTAAACTGATACGAAACATGTTTAATATTCTAGTCCACGTTGGTTATGAATACGCAACGTGTCCTCAAATAATTTGGGAAGTGCAGACAACGCAAGTTAGTGGACACGATATGAGTATATCAGAAATAGGAGGTTGGAATTTAGACATACATCACCGTTACAACTTTCACGAAGGTAACTTCAACATAAATACAGTTACAATTAATTCAAAATTACGATTTCTAATTGAACACTCTGCACTTTACAAATAGGAATTTTACAAAAAGGAGACGGAAGTAACATCTATCTAAAAAATAAACCTAAAGTTTTGATCACAACAATGGGTGACGGGCAACAAAGACCTCTTCATTGTGCCCAATGCAACGGGGTGGCTAGTCACCAAAGATTGTTGGCACCCGTGGCCTTGACTAGTGCTCCGGATGGTAGCATCTATGTGGGGGACTTCAATCTTATCAGGAGAATAATGCCAGATGGTCTAGTGACTACCGTTGTAGAACTCAGGTAGGTACTGTACAGTACCACGATAGTATGTGGCGTATAGTATAATTCGTAGACGTATAATTCTTTTGTTATTTTCAGTGCTGCCCAAGTCGCATACCGATATCACCTGGCAGTGGCACCGTCTACGGGAAAATTATACATTTCTGATCCAGAAAGGCACCAAATATTGCAGGTAGTTGCACTTTCTGATATTCCTAATATCAAAGACAATATTGTGCCTATCATTGGAAACGGAGGCAAATGTCTTCCAGGTGATAAGTTGCTATGTGGAGATGGAAGAGCAGCTAAAGATGCTAGATTAGCTTATCCCAAAGGTTCTTAAATGTTGCTTATATGTAAAAGAGTTTTATGTGTCTTGTTATTAAAATACTTTCATTTTTAGGTATAGCCATTTCACCACAGAATGAGATATACATTGCAGATGGAACTAATATAAGAATGGTGGACAAGAACGGAATCATTCACACTCTGATAGGCGATTACTACCACAAAAGCCACTGGAAACCAATACCTTGTGGAAGAACCGTTACTCTATCTCAAGTAAAGTCGTTTTTGAATCAAAGATTTACAATTTTTTAGAAATTTAATTTCTAATTTCTAAATTTTAGGTAAATCTTCGATGGCCAACCGAACTGGCTATAAATCCTTTAGATGGTTCTCTTCATATCTTGGACGATCACATGATTTTGAAAGTGACACAGGATAAGAGGCTAAAGGTCGTAGCCGGAAGACCATTGCAGTGTCCCTCTCTTGCACCCAGTCGTGATAAAAGTGATCTAGCCACGGAAATATATCTAGAATCACCTCAAGCTTTAGCTTTTGCACCCAACGGAGATCTGTACTTAGCAGAAAGTGATTCTCAAATGGTAAATCGAGTTAGAGTCATAGGTAGTGACGGAAAGATTTCTAAATTCGCTGGAGCAGAATCGAAATGTAGCTGTTTGGACATCAATTGCAAATGTTTCGAAGAAGATCACTTTCTGGCTGCCACTTCCAAATTAAACACCATCTCTTCCATAACCGTAACAGCTGATGGATTGTTACACATATGTGATCAGGGAAATCTACGCATTAGATCCGTAACAGCTTCCCTCCCACAACCCAACGAGTCGAACGAATTCGAGATTTATGCACCCGAAACCCAAGAAGTATACATCTTCAATCGACACGGCCAACACATATCCACCAAGAATATTCTCACGGGGAAAGTCACCTATACATTCTTCTATAACGTCAACACCAGTTTTGGAAAATTAAGCACAGTCACTGATGCGGCCGGAAACAAAATCTATATCCTTCGCGATTATAGCAACCAGGTAAACACTATAGAGAACACTCAAGGTGGAAAATGTCGACTGGAGATGTCGAGGATGAGGATGCTTCAGAGCTTCACTACACCGTACAATTTCAAGACGATATTTGATTATCACGGTAGTACGGGATTATTAAGAAGCAAGATCGACAGCTCTGGAAAAGCTTATATGTACAGTTACGACGAATACGGTCGATTGATAGAAGCTGTATCGCCCAGTGGACAGACAATTAGACTAGGTTACAATCTGAGTATCAAAGGAGCATCTATAACAGCTTCGAGAGATACCAGCAACCCTGTATCACTTCTGATTAAAGGATCGGACGTTACGACGAAAATAGGTGAGTTTTTCGCTTACGAAATTTCTATAATTAATTCTAATTACTAACAACGTCTAGGTGAATCTTTGTCGTTATAAGTTATTGTATCTGCTTTTATAATAACAAACCTAATCCTTGGTCTGATCTACATCAATCATTAGAGAGCAAACAGCGCGCTGTGGGTGATTAACATTAATCCGATTATAAGCTCTTAAAGCAAATCCTTCTACACACGATTTTCCCCAACATTTCCTCTTAATGAATGCTATTCTGTAATATCTGTCGTTTTGTTTTTAATCTTTTTACCCTTTCCCTTCTTTCCAATCATTATAATATAACTAATAAACCTTTTTCAGTCAAATTTAGTAAACTTGATTTAATTCCTCTCAAGTTTATATCATTTTTTTAAAATCTGCAATGTTAAACTGGATGTTATAAAGAAGATAACAGAATACACTTGCCATATTTGTGAGGAATGTAATCAATTTCGAACTTTTTCTCTCGAGTTTTATGTATTTATCTGCAAAAATGTGCAAGTTGATCAAAAGTAACGTGCAATCATTCAATAGAATGGCTATTCGTCTCCTAAAGTCGATTACAATTATCCAAAAACTAAAGTAAAATAACTTTCTTCTATTGTTATGAAATGAACCGTGTGGTTCCTATTGTGAATTCTGAAATTTGAACATATTTGCAGGTCAAGCCGAAGAGAGAATCACACAATATCCAGATGGAAGTCTTATTGTTGCTCATCAAGATTCGACAATCATGGAAATAGAGACGGTTCCTAGTCCAGTTTTAGCAGATTTAAGTCCATTAGTTGGCGAAATCTATCCGGTTCCTGCCAAACTTAAAGCCACTCTAAGCGAAGATTCCGTGAGAAGATTCGAATGGCGTTACTACTTAAGGAAAGAAGGAAAAGGAAAAAATCGACAGATAACTCAAGTAGGAAGGAAAATGAAGGTAAGTTACAAACTTCTAACTGTTGTATCTCATAAAAAATGGTGTTTCTAAGCAAAAAAGTTACTTTTAGGTAAACGGGGAGATTCTAATAATGGTAGAGTTCGATCGCAACAAACATTTCGAGACTGTTTACGATAAGAACCAGATACCTTTAGTGTCCATACACTACGACCCTCAGGGTCATCATCCCATACAATGGCAACCGAGTCAGAACGTAACGGGAGTCAAGTTAGAATACGATAAATTCGGTCGTTTGGCCAGGTGGGAGAGAGGAGCACTTTTCGAACGTTACCTGTTCGACATTCAAGGTAGATTGGCGGAAATTAGGTATTCTGACGAAACGGGAATCATGTACAAGTATGAAGAGGGACCCATCAATCTGGTGAGTGCCGTTTAGAGATTTCCACTAGAATTTTATACAAAATTTAACGTATCCCCCTCTCCGTTTCAGCCCTCGGAAATTATACTTCCGAGCGGGAGCAGGTATGTTCTTCAGTATGACACCAGTGGAAGTCTTCAAGCTGTCATAACACCTAATGGACATAAACATGAAATTGCAACTCAGACGTCCATAGGATTCTATAAACTTCTGTACCTATCTCCGGGAGTTAAACATCCTTACGTCTTGCAATACAACGATCAAGGCCAAATTTTGGCAAAATTGTATCCGAAGAACAGAGGGAGGGTTGTGTATCACTATAACGACGACAGCCGTTTGCAGACCGTGTTCTGTGGCGAAGAGAGGACAGATTACCATTATTACGAGCAGAGTGCATTGCTGAAGAGTGTTTCTAGAAGTGTACCAGATCTAGATACCAGAGTGGATTATAGATACCACGGTTCACTACTGAAGGAAGAGAAACTCAGGTATAACAGCAGGAGCGGTTTAGATGGTGCAAAATTTAGATACAGGTACGAAAGTAAATTAACCACAGTCGAAGTTGAGGTGAATGGAAAGTCCACTATGGAAACTAGATATAGATACAACACAGAAACTGCTGTATTAGAACAAGTGCAACAGTTCCTAGTTCATAGACCAAAAATTAATAGCATCTTCATCCAGGATGACATGAGACATTATTCCAAAACCATAGGTTTGGATGTTTATGGAAGAATCGTTGTTTTGGCAGTTACATTATGGAATAAGGAGATATTTTCTCTATCCCTAACCTACGATAGCAGGAGTAGAATTAAACAATCTCAAACTAAAATAGGCAGAGACGGTGGCTCGGTTCTTACTAATTATACTTACACAGTAGATGGATTTTTGGAAGAGGTGAATAATAATGACGTCTGGAAATTTATTTACGACATTAATGGTAACATGAAGAGTGTTTGGGAAGGGAAGAGGCAGGTGTCTTTAAGATACGACGATGGGGATAGGTTAATAGGTTACGGTGATGTGGAATTATACGTTGCAGATGTTCGCGGTTTCGTAGTACAACGTGGAGAAGAAAAGTTTCGTTTCAACGCTAAAGGGCAACTTACACACGCTTTCGAACTGCATCAATACGAAGTTCACTATTATTACGACACTTCGGAACGTCTGTCGGCTCGTCGAGATCATAGAGGAAACATAACTCAGTTCTTCTATACTGATCCCAAGCATCCCGCTCACGTAACTCACATACACTATCCCAAGAATGGAATCACTTTTGTGCTAATTTACGACACCAATTCCCATCTGATGTACATGCAGCAAGGAAACAACAAATATTACGTAGCCAGCGACCATCTCGGAACACCTTTAGCCGTATTCAATTCTGAAGGAAAGTTGGTGAAGAAGGTATTCAGAACCCCATTCGGGAAGGTGATTTCCGACTCCAATCCAGACTTCGCCCTCCCTGTGGATTTTCAAGGTGGTCTCCGCGATCCTCTGACTCAACTAGTTCATTACGGAAGTCGTGTTTACGACCCTCTTTGCGCTCAATGGTTGACCCCCAATTGGGAAGAAGTTCCTCAACTTCTGAAGAAGCCTTATAACATTCATCTTTATCGTTTTCATGGTAATGACCCTATTAATCAAGCCAACACGGAACGTCATCTGACAGGTAAGACCACTCTCTACAATATTTATATGCAATCTTCGTGATTATAAACTAAAATCCCTACTAAATATGACCATAAAAAACCTTTCGTGTTGTTGACGCTCACTTAATCTGCTGATTATTACTCATTAAAATCCTGTAATCCTTTAGAATGGGTAATATAAAATTTATAAATGTATTTTTGTCACGCATACATTCTAAGCCAATTGCTTTGTTTTGCGTGGAGAATGTTTAGTAACTTTTTGTGTAGCATTGAGAGCTTTTATAGACCTTTAAACGTCTGAATTTTAGAAATATTTCAAGTAAATCTAACTACAAGTATAGTAACAGGTGTTCTCTTTTGTTATTTTTCATGGACTTTTTCGAAATTATTTTTTCCCTTTTTACGATTTTCAAAAAACTGCCCAAAAGTGACCCCGTTTGCAAGCGTTCTCTTTTGTTATTTTTCAGAACTTCACGAATGGTTATCGACGTTTGGCTTCGATATTTCTAAAATGCTTCACATACCGAGTCAAAGTGATAAGTTGAGGAGTGTGACGATGAGCGAAAGCCTCCCTGTTATATCCGGTCTCAGCTGTACGGCGGATGTACTTCGTGCAGAATTTGGTCAATTTAGCACCGTCCCTAGGAAAGGAACCAAAGTTTACTCCAGTCTTTTGCCTAGTATCAATTCCCGAATAGCAAATCTCCTATCTGTAGTCGGGGATGGTGTACTTATATCTAAAAATAGGAACAAAGCAATCGTTCACGTGGTCAACGAAGCCAGTCCCATCCTTCGTGACGTTATCACTTCGGTGTTCAACGATACTTCTATGGTGAATCTATACTTTTCTCTACACGGCCAGGATTCGTTTTATTTTGTTCAAGAAAACAGGAATAAGGTACAAGAAGATTGGGACCAATTGCAACGTTTGGGTACCATGTTCAACGTCACCATGCATCCAGTCGACGGAAGCGAAGCGGTGTCTAGCAAAATGGGTCAAGTAGACTTAAGAGTGCATAGCACCAGCGTGATACTTAACATTCGTTACGGGACAACACTAAACGACGAGAGGCAACGTCTCATACGTCACGCAAGAAGAAAAGCCGTAGAAGAAGCGTGGCAGCAAGAAGTGGAGTTGGTGAGGAATGGTCATCGAGGTTCTCAAGAATGGAGCAAACAAGAGCGTGACGAACTTCTCGCATCGGGTTTGGTATCGAGATACTACGGAACTGACATACAAGATATAGAAAAGTATCCACAGTTAGCAGATGATCCAACAAACGTGGTCTTCAGGAGGGAGAGTACGAGAAAAAGAAGAGTCAGATCGAGAAGACCCAAATAGGAATCTGTCCATCTTGATTTCCAGAAGGAAAAAAGCAGCCTCTACTAAATCAAACTAAGGTTCTCCATAATGTTGAGAGATCGTCTGTGATTCTATATATATGTATATATATATAGATATATATATAAAGCAACACTATTGAGTGTTATCACGTACCAAAGAACTGGTGGCCAATTTTAAACTGCAGGGTATAAAAATTTCGAAACGTAATGCGTTGCATTGCGACCCATTCAAGTGCAATGAAGACTCTCTCGATCGAGTGTTGCGGTGTAGACTTAAATAAACCGCAACACCGTGTATGGTTGTGTGTGATATGTACTGTTTGCTGCTTCCAAACAACAACAACAACAACAACAACAACAACAAACTGTATTATATATATTCCATGCCTTGGCAGCAATTTGTTTTTAGAAGCTATTTCCAAATTTTGTTGGCTTCGTCTCGATCGTGTTGGGTTCTTTTTTTGTGTTCTTTGTATTGTTGTAAGTGTCTCAACAATTCCAAAAGATACATTCGTACGAATTATCATGCACAGGAAGATGAAGAAGTAATGAAAAAAATTAACGATGATAATCATATATCGTCTCAATTTAATGATTTATGACTACATTAAAAATTTTAATATTTAAAAAATAAATAAAAATAAAATAAAATCGAGAATTGTAAAGTTTGGTATGAAAAATAATAGAAAAAAAAAAGAAATATATAAACAAAGATGAATTGCAAGTGCCTTATCGTTATTCTTTCACCATTGCCCTTCTAGGAATCAATGTTTGCACTTGCCGTAAGAGTAAAGTTTCGTGGGGGATAGGACAGGTGCCAAATATGGAGCCATCTTTGATCCTATCCTAATCTAAATTTCATTATTTGTCTCGTGTCCCCGTGGTGGTGACACTTTTCAATGTTAATGTATACGGACAATGGATTTGTACTTACAGGAATCCAGGGCCTGGATAATACTCAGAACGAAAAATAAAATTGCTTGTCACATAATTATTCTTATTTCCTTCTTTTATTTTATAGAAAATATATTTATACTTTTAAATATTTTATTAAATGGATGGCTTTTTAACACGTCTTACGAGAAAGGTATAAGCTGAATTCACACACGAATTTCACTTAATCTATTGATTAAATGTGTTAAAACTTATCAAATCTACAAAACTTTGACCTTTTAACGTCTCTAATCATTAAGAAATTTGCTATACCATCGATTAAAATATATTAAAATACCACAAAGATTCATGATTTAACACCTTCGTACATCTTTAATCAATAATCCACCTCAAGAATCATTAATTAAACACGTATTAAGAAGTCAAAATTTTTATTTAGATTACATAAATCAAATATTTTTCTTAAAATAGAACCAATTTTTGTATTTAATCAAGCCATACAATTAGAAATAAAATTGAAATTCCTGTAAAAAAAAGATGCTGTAAAAAGGTACTAAAATATCCATTTTCTAATCAAGATAGAGTCAAATAAGATTAAAAACAGTTAACAGGTATCATCAAAATCTTTCAATTTAAGAGTTAAACTAACGAAAATCAAGTTAGAATAAGGTAAGGGGAAGTTTTTTATTTCCTCCTCTCCCTTCACAATCCATAACGTTGCTAACGATGCGGGGTGGAAACCAATATCTTATTAAGGAATAAAAATAGCACTAAAATAGAATTAATATTGTTATTACAGCATTTTTTCTCTAATAATAAATTCAATATCTGCTACTGATTAAATTTTTAATATGAAATAAGTGACCCCAATTTCCACGTCGACAATCGTAAAGAAGTCGAATAAAAAGAGATAAAATTTGTGGCACGCAAACGTTAAAAATAAATTTAAAAAATACTTTCTGATAAAAGAAATGGTTTATTTTCGAAAAATTACACTTGTAACTCTATATAATTTTTATATATTTTTTAAAATAATAATAAAAAACACCATGTTTTTTTGGACGGTGATGAAAAAGGTGTCAGGAGAAGCAAAAAAATGAGTCATTTCTGTGGCTTAAATTCTTAATCTTTGATGTTTTACTTTACTTTTAAACGTAGAATCTTATCATTTATGTGTTAGATCCCTCTTTAGATTGTGAAGTTTTCGTAGGGAAGATTAGAACAGCATCAGAGTTTTCCCTAAAGATCAAAGAATCTATTCTATAGTTTTACACTTTCTTAGCCTGAAGCTCTTTTACTCTTCAATAAAACTTGGATTAAATATATAAAAAATATATATTTTAAAAAATCGAAAAATTGTTAAAGGTTATTTGTCAAAGACCTTTATCTTTATCTCTTTCCATATAAAAATTCGTTACTTTATTTAATATGAATGATCAGGAATTTCGTTACTAATTTTTGTACAGAGTCTCCGAGGTGCAGTCTAGGATAATAAATCAGATGCTCTCTTTCTCTCTCTCTCTCAATTGTTCTTTTTCAGGTGGGTTAGAATAGCTTCAGGTAATGAAGATTTAATAGCTTGGATGCTTTCTCTCCCCCATCTCAATGATATATTCCCCATGTGAGGTGGTGATTCTATAACCATTTTAACCATTTGTTCTTTTTTATTTCGTTGTTTTTGCTCTAGAAACTTGTTAAAATTGAAGTAATACATGTATTCTCTTGTACTTTTAAATGGGAAGCAAACAGAAAAAGTATTATAGAAACTTTTCTAACACCATCTTTTGATATTAAACAATGTTTCTAAATCAGAAATATTACTTATGAGAACTCTTTGATAGGATTTACGTGTAAAAAAACTATCTAATTTATGATAATTCTTAAGAATTTTTTTATATATTTAATGAAAAGAAAAGCGAAATTATCATCGATATTTTCATCAGAAACGTTGTTAAGTCGATAAGAAAACTAGTTTAATTAATTTAAATAATGTTTTTAGATAATTATTTTTCAACGGATGAGCAAATTAAATTATTATTTTTCAACGAAATTAAACTATTTTTTGAATTAAAAAAAAACACGAGTAAACAGAGGAGAAACTTTTTTACTTTCATTAATTCTTGTAATTAATCCTCTTCGATTCTTTACTAAAAGATTAACAGATTAATACTCCCTTTTTTGGAATGTTTTTTGATTAATTTATACGTTTAAAAATATCCGAAAAAGAAGAAAATAACACAATCCGAATTACCTTTAAACTTAATAAATAGTAAAAGTTTTCTTGTTCGTTTTTAACTGAAAACATTCTTTTTATTCTAATTATCTGCTTGGTTTGTTTCGTGTAAAATTACGATAATTACACGATTAAGACTTTAAAATTGCGAGACATTAATTTAGTAATTAGTCGAAATAGTTCCTTGTTCAAAAAGGGGGTAAAAAAATGGTATTCAAAGAAACGAATTTAGAGAAGAGAGGAAGGGGGAAGAAGAAGAAGAAAAAAAAAGAGAAGGAGTGATCTTTGAGGAACAAGATTTCCCTCCTCATCTCGTAGGTACTGCAAGATACTCACATTAGTTTACGATACGTTAAGCTAGTGCAGTAAAAGTTAAGTGGCCATTCCCTAGTACATTATGTCCAACACCGGAGATAGATAATAGAGTGAGTGAAGCCAGGACGATGTAAAGTGCAGAAAATATGGCCGGCTGGTGTCGACACATACACGAGATATGAAGAGAAATATTGCATCGTTAGATCACTGCGACTAACCTTAATGTGTGTGGAAACTTTACCGAATAGTTTGCACAGATAGTGAGTTTGCTTAAGGTAAAGCAGACACCAACCACTTCTCTTAACCCGATAATCCCAACTTTTCTATTCCTCATCCCTTTAGGATTCTATCGAAAATGTTGCATACCTCCTTCTGGAGTTGAACTCTTATCCGAGCGTTAATAAAAAAAAAGGTGGGGTTGATGATGCCCTACACGCGTAAACATCTTGGGAATTTGGTGTAGAATTTTAGAATTAATTCCCTAACTTCGCTCGCTATTGACTTCTTAATCAGAAGTATTTGTTCTTTCCTTTGTTCGTCCTCAAACTCTTTAAAATTTAGCTAAATTTTTACCCCTTCTGCGGGTTTGTTTTCTGACTGCAACATCCTGATAAGTCGAATTGAATAGGATGAAGTGAATGGGAAAAATAACGACAAAACTCCTATTCGTGTAGCATTGTTTAACGTATCTTGGTCGAAACGACCTTATAAATTTATAAATAAAGTATAAATTTGAGATATTTTTTTGATTTCTGCATACGTCAGATAGTATGTAATTTAGCACCAGAGGTAGAGTTAGTTTCCTCTCTTTAAAGATGCGGAAGAGAGGGATGCGGAAAGTCAATCTACAGAGCGTGACGACAAGATTGTAAGATCTTTCCCCAAAAATAATCCTTAACAAAAGAAAAGAAGGGCATAAACTTCGGACGTTTTTCGGTAGTAGGAAGGCACCCGAGTTGAATTTTGAGCAGGAGCAATAAAAGTAGCTTTAGCGAAAAGAAGAAACAGTCCATAACGATGACTCACTCGGGGTACAAACACACTTACATACCATGCTTCGATGAACCTAAAACTTCAAATAAAACGGATAAAAGGACACAATCTCTTCTAGGAACCGAGACAGACTCAAACACTAAAAGCTCTTTGGGTATTACCAATTCGTCTAACGGGTCAGTTGTTGGATTTCATTAAACCGATTGGTTCTAAAAAATCCTTACACTCGGGGGACGATCTTTTCTATTCTATGTTGCTCCTTCTCATTCTAGAAGTTGTTGCACGGTGTGAAATGACTCGAAAAGAGATTCCCCCATTTACTATTGAAGCTTTCTATTATTATATCAATGACACGACAACTTTCGTGGGTCATTTTGTTAAAGGCCATACCTCTATACACCTAACTAATGGACATTCTTCAGCATCTTGTATTAAATAAACTCATCCCCACAACCGGTAGTGCCTCGAGCTACCCTTTATTACTTAGTAGAGTAATTGCTTAGCTATATATTTTAGTCGGTCTGTTTGTCTATCTCCTAAATAAAACACCTAATAATCGTTTATAATCCAAACCTACTCGACACTATTTAAAAACATTAAAACATCCAAAAATCCATCGACTTCTTTCGGCTTTATTCAAGTTACAAACAATAACGATTAACTCGATAAGAAAATAAAATAAAATTAATAAAATTCAACGACGTTAACTCTTAAATAAAGAAAAATAAATTTGTTTTTTGGCAATTCTTTACTTTTAACATTGTTAATATTCAGTTGATGATTGCTAAAGAAGATGATTGATTGAGGAAATATAAAAATCAATAGAGTGATTTTTAGATGAAAATAATGTAATTTCCTTGCCAAAAAATTCAAAAAAATAAAGTATATATATATATATAATAAATTTATAACGCTTCTTATCGAGTATTTAATCTTTTAATTTTTGAAAATTTTAATTAAAAAATTTCCTAAACAAACAAAGAACAATCTTTCTCCTTTATGTGCTTATCGATTCGTAAAGAAAAAAAAAACACGAGGTTTTTTACATGGTTTTTTTCGATTTTAAGTGTTATAAACTTACAAATTTTAAAGCTTAGATGCTATATTAAGTTATAAGTTTATCTATTTCATCTTATCTTATTAATTAAACAGTTTAGATGGAGAGTAAATGTACAATTATGGCTAATGCTATTAACATTAAAGTCCATATCAGGATTTTAGGATGTAACAATAAGTGATGCCGTTCCAGATGGAAGAGGCTGTTTAGTAAATTGATTAATGGCTTAATTATGGTGTTTTTTTTCTTATAAAAATGATAATTTTTTTTGTAAATTAAGCGAAGGAACTTAAGGATAAAAATATAAAAATCTTCAGAAAATTACTCTTCGGGATGATTTTCTTTTTTAGTTCTAATTCGGGATTCTTTTATAGAAAAAGGCATACAAAAATGAGGATTTTTGGAGGAAGATTCGTAAGTGGAGATCCTTAATAAAGGCACGATTTGGTTACTCGATTAAGAAACATTCTAGGAAGGTTCCATTATTTTGAAGAATTGTA